TTTCACACTGCGACTTCCCAATCTCATTTCCTCAATAGCGGCGCAATGGCCAATCAGTGAGCTATAGCCGGCCACTAGACACTTACCAAATATACTCCTTTCTAACCCAATTTCGTCGTACACTATCAGAACTCTGTGGTCACACCGACGTGAAGCGCCATGTTCATATGTTGTTGACTAACTAATTGGCTCAAAAGCTAATTTCAGCTTCAAGAGAGGGCTCCGCAGAAAATTGCTGCACAAAAGTGGTTAAGTGGTAGCTGAATTAGCCTCATGTCCCTAGGGGCCAGAGAAATGTCAAGGAAACATTGGCAAGAACAGGACGCAGCGGACATGAACATTAACTGCTTCCCTGAAATGTCAAACTCTAATTTTAGGTGTGGTTTCAAAACAGGAGAGCGAAATGGAGGAAGACCGAGAAGACATGGGGAAAGAGCACTATAATGGCAGGTGGGAGTGCGAAGAATCAGTTAGAGAGCTGTTCCCTTTTCTCTCTGTAGCAACTCTATTCACTAGTTATAGAATACGGCCTATATGGCGCTATGGTACGACATTCACTTCCACTGCCCGATACAATCACGAAAACTGCAGAAGCTGCTGATCCCCAACAAAGCGCAGCGCCATGGCTACTCGGTGAGTACATGAGTGAATTGATCGCGTTTACTAGTACTGCCTAGATCGCATTACATTTTCTCTCGTTCGCTCGTACAAACTTAGAAGAGACTTCGCTATAAATACTATTCTTTGAAAAGGGCATCAAGTAACCTAATGTCCAGTAATACGTTGAGCTGGCTGCACCATCATCACACATAAACATCAGCTAATCGTTTGCAAAGCGGCCCCTCACAAGCGTCTCAAATTTCCGAACATTTGTTAAATAGGCAGATAGACATGGCTACGTTTGACGTGGAGGTGCGCTTCTCATTAACTGTTGATTTCTCTAGAGCGTTGAATTTATTTTGAAATTTTCAAGCTAGTATATCTATGACTGCCAAACCGTAAAAGAAAAAATCATTTTGATATCAGTGTGAAGCTAATGTCGTCAGTAAAGACTAACTCCAAGCA